TTTCTAAACGAAAGTTGTATTTCCCACTATATCTTAACTACCTTTTGTAAAATGTATTTTGTAAAATGGCCTTAAAAACCTTAGTATGCACGTACCTAACAAAAATCGCCAATGTGATTTTATGTATTGTTTTTTGACAGTGAAATTATTGTAATTCTGTTTATTTTCAGACATAGTAAGTACATACATTAAATACCCCCGCCGCAGCAAACCTGCAGACTAAGCGAATTTCCATTTGACTGACTGATTGGATTTACATTGAAATGTCTACTTAAAAATATAACATTTATTCCCGGTTTAAATAGAATTAGTTTAACAAGTACTTAGGTTTGCTGCATCAGGGAGGGTAAAACTGTGTTTTTTTAAATGTTAATAGTTAGTAAGAAATAAAAACATTTTCCAAATTTGATCAAAATATGTTCATAAACAAGCAAACTACAACAGTTTACTCATTCTCCATAAGAATAACATGGGAATTTTAAATATACAATTTTTTGGAATTTTCTCCGTAACCATTAGGCGCATAATAACGCTTCAATATACTAAATTATTTGTTTTTTGAAGCTCTACAAAATGGTTTGGAAATAAATTGCTAAATTTTATATTTTTTGGGTCAAAAATGGGAAAAACCTATTTTTACCCCATAAAACCCCCCGTAAACACCCGTTCCCATGGTCCGATCATGCTGGATCGCGAACTCGTTCGAATAAACATAGTTTTACACGTTTGTACCAAATTTCATCAAAATCGGATCATTTTTGCTCGAGTTATCGTGCTGACGGACACACACACACACACACACATATATATATATATATATAAATATATATATATATATGAATTTGAACGGATGGTGTTTTTGGCCTCTAAGGACCTCAAAACGAAAAAAAATCGGTCCCGCGTCCAGGTCTTACCATGAGTACTATAGTAATAGCTTATTCCCTATATGGGAAATTCACTAAAGAAACCACTACAACTATAAATACTAACGATGGTACCCATGCGCTAATTTCGCTTTTAAATAGGGTTCAAAGCTTAATTCAAAGAAACAAATTACAATGCAATACCCTTTTACTTTTCAAAGATCTAGATCTACACCATAAAGGCCGAAGAGTGATTTACCTACCTCAATCAGGCTTCAATTATAAAAAAGTAGCTTATTTAAAATCCTTGTAAACTGTTTCGTCTCTCTCTCTTGTTTACAATCTGACTGTGGTTAAACATTCAACTGAAGGATCAGCTGTTTGATTACAATCTATATATTAATAGGCAAGCATGTTTCTTAAAAACCTTTTTTCTCGGCTCGTGTGCATCGCAGGGAAAATCTACGCACACCATTATAAAGCTATTATCCTGTAGATGTGAAGAATCCCTTCATAAATTAAAATAGGCTCAAAAATAAGCAAAAAAAAAAAATGGAATTTTAAATTTGAAAAATATTAACATGGGCCTTATTAGTGGGGCCTTGCTTACGGGTTGTCATGCTGGTGACGAAATAACAACGAAATATAAACAGAAAAAAATGAAAGAAACTCCGATCACATGTTTTATTTACAGCGTGGAGTGAAAACAGAGAAGCCTGTTGTACATTACATATTTTTTGGTTGATTTTTCGACCACTGGACGGCCACTAGTTCATATGCAAACCGTTTATAAAGTTTGAAAGTGAGATATCGAAATAAGGAAAATATTTTTCGTTACCATTCGCAGGTGTGCTGGATCATAATCTTTTAAAATGACACCTCAATCGTGAAAATCGCTTGAGTAGGACAGTTAAAAAAGGGACGTAATAGAGAAAATCCGTATTGTATTAATCATATAGATTGACTCTCGAGGTAGCTCTACGGATGATTACATAATCAACACTCTTGTGCAGCAGATCGCAATACGGACAACGAAGTTTGTGGAGCTGTCGTCTGAAATAATAATAGGCCTTAGCTGGTGATAACTTTGTTATCATATCTTGAGCCTATTGTTGTCTTCAAGAAGATTTATACTGTGATATTTACTGATTAGCCTATAATAAAAATACAGCCGGAGTTTGGAACGATTTGTAACAATTTAGTGACAAATATTTAACAGATAATTTATAAGAAACATACATATGGTTAGGTAAATAGAGAGAGGTTATAAATAATTATAAACACATAAATGAAATGATGAAACCCTTCACTAATGCTCTGGTCCGCTGTGACAGCTGTTCGCTGTATACGGTCTGATGACTTGTAAAGGGGACGTGATCTGGAGTACTAAAGTCTCCGTAATGTCTGCTCACATTCTACATGCGAGTGCTGCTATCTGTGTTGACCCTGCTGTATATTAACATTGTTAAATACTCATTGTGCTCTTCAGTAAAATTCTATGATATTTAAACAAAAATAAATAAATTGGGAGATTTTATGTTTCGAAGGTCAACAATGAGAAAACCCAATTTATACCCCCATAAAACCCCGTTCCGATGGTCCGATCACGCTGCTCGCGAACATGTTCGAATAAAATTAGATTTACACGTTTGTACCAATTTTCGACGTTTGTACCAAATCAAAATCGGATAATTTTTGCTTGAGTTATCGGCTAACTGACATATAAATACTTATGTGAATTTTAACGGATGGTGTTTCAATACGAAAAAGTAAATCGGTCGCGGGCCCATGTCTTACCATGAGACCTACGGTAATAGCTTATTCCTTATGTAAGGAATTTGCTAAAACCTAGCGAAGTGCAGACTCGAAGACACTTGACACAAATCAGTAGAGACAAGAGTGATCGAGGAAGACAAAATAATACAAACAATTAAGATTAACTAAATTTCTTCAACCAAAGATTACTTTTCAAAATCCGAAAGATTATTTTTCATAAGGAAAATGTTTATGTGAAGCGTTATCTTTTAGTCCACGTTAAATGTAATAGTTTAAATCAAAAGAAACTAATAAGGATTTTTGCGATTTAATGGCACAACAGAAGTGGAGCGTCGAGATCAGACTCTACAGTAGAATGATGACTCTACCTTTTCAACAATGATCTGGCTTTTAAGAGTTCACTCGAAGTTAGACAGGAACAACTCGTCCACAAACTCATGTGTTGCTCATTTCCGCCTCAAACTATGTGCACCATGGTGTTAAGGTCGTTGTAAAGAATACTAAAAATCATTATACTTTTTCTGAATATCAATTACTCACTAATTGCTTTTTTTATTTTTCCTGTTAAAAAATCATGTTTGACTGTCCAAATTACACTTTTCCGGCTAAATCTTGACCTCGGACAGAGACACTAACATGTTGTCGAGACTTCCTACTACAGTAGCATCTCATTCTTAGTTGCTCGCGTGGTCACTCCCACGAGGCTTGCGTGTGTACTACGTGGTCACTGAGGGTCATGTTTCATGTTCACGTTGGTTTACCTGAGTAGTGAGTAGTAAGGTGAGAATAGCTACTAGTGGCCACTAATGTTTCCGGATCTGAGAATACCCGCTAACAGAGCTGCCGCATGCACACCGTACTTCCCAGCGTTGAAACTTTTATGTGGATGAAAACCCTTATTAGTTTTCATTATGTAGTTTACAAACCCACTCAATAATTCTCGAAGCGATGATTTCGTAAAATAATTTTCATCATTATAAATTAGATCTAGAAATGGTTTACTTCTTGTTTTTACCATAGACAAATACCGTTATTTGGAAGCAACATGTATTTCTCTTTAGCTGGTAACTCAATAATATTTTCTAATCCAACATAATAAAATATTTTAAAATTAAAATTTTTCTAAATAATTTTGATGAAGAGTAATTGTTGATGTTATTGTAGTTAAACGTAATTTGACAAGCAGTATACTATTTTTAAAACCACAACGGAGAGAGCTGGAGGTATAGCTCTTTACAATCAAAATTCTCCAAACTCTAGAGTCAAGGATAGGACTTGGACCTCAATGGGCTCTGCTCTCTGAATAATAACGAAATGTAATCTTGCTTCAGGTGTATTACAGACCTAGAATAGGAAATAGTTACGTGAGCTAACCATGCTTCATGTTATTTCTTGAGAGAAGTCAAACAGTCAAGGTTTAACTAAAAGAATTGCCAAAAGATACTAATCTTAACCTAGATGCAGGTTTTAAGGAGCAAGTTGAATCATCCAATATAATTCAATATTTTAAATACCGGTACTGTAATATGATTCTGAAGTCCCGACTGTTTGGATTTTTTCGTAGTAACCATTGCGGTGGTTCGGTGGTTTATATTCTCAAACTAGCTTTTTATTTGTATCCGTCCTTCAGTGATAGATATCTCTAAAACTAAAACCTAACTACAAAGGTTTTAAAATAAATTTTTAAAGTATGCATATCTTAACAAAATGATCCTCATTAGTTCACAAGTTTTACACCTTGTTGTTGATACCGTGCATAATTCTGCAGAAATATATTTACTAGATAATCGTTTATATCTCTTGGTATATTTTTATTACCAGAGTGGGCTACTCTTTAATTCTGTAGTGTAGTACAATAAATTTCTCAACGATTCACCGTACTCAGGCAATACAGCGATCGTGTTAAAAGTAACATGATATCTTATGTAGTGAACAGAAATGTCAGCAAGCAGTTTGTTTAACGTGTAAAATGTTTTCAGATATAGCTTATCCATAATAAACAAATCGAAACCATTGTTGATTTGTTCGATAACAGTTTCTCTTGTTTTGGTGTTAAACAATTAACTAGTGTAAAATCTGTAATATCTTTTGTGTCGAACCTTTGTCTAAGAATCTAATAACAATAACTACATTATATAGCTTGCCAGGAAACCCGAGACGCTGCTTTAACGTGAAATAGGTATCGGAAGAGCTGCTAAAGCGACACCGATAGACACTCAAAGGACAATATTGCTTCGTATATTTGTACTTAAGATGAAACGAAAAAAAAAACACATTCTCACACTACACCTACCGACTTAGAGCTAGAGCACAGTGAATGGTTTGATTTGATTCACACAGTAATGGTTTGTTGGGTTGCAGGAGGTGAGGTATGGGGTTGGCTGATGCCCCGGGACCGCGTCTTGGAGAGGTTTAACCAAGTGAGGAAGATCCTTCTGCCCGTGCCGGAGCAGCAACTGGAAGAGGCTCTATACCACATCGGCTCCTACTACATACCTATCGACTCTGAGACGGAGATCTGTCGCAACCACAGCAACTACTTCTTTGAGAGCTTCCTCAAGAAGGACTTCTGGGCGTTGACAAGTAAGTAATATCATTGCAATATGTATAAACTTATCCTTTAGCTCATACGCTAGGCCATTTCACGATATACTATATCCTAAAATGAATATCCTATTATTGTATTTGCAGTTTTCTGTTTCATTCTTTTTCTCTGCTTGCATACGGTTGAGTTTGTTTGTTCATTTTTTATCTCACTTCTCAGTATAAACGTCAATTTAGTAGTATAAAAACGTTACGTTACGTATAATGTGTTATTATTATTTTTTCTCCCTAATCCAAAAACATAAAATAACTTGCTCAGTACATTAGTTTAGTTTATTTTGTCAAACGTAAAGTATGTTTCGCCACAAATGTTTTGCAATTAACCATATTCAAATTACGCATTTGAATATGGTTTGAATCTTTTTTTCGTTGCAAAAATCAGACGCAATACAATTTTATTTCAAAGATAACGTTTGTTTGTTGCAGTTAATTAACTGTTTTTTTTTTTTTTTTTTTTTTTATAAATGGTCTGTTTACATTTTAGTTCTCCCCTATAAAAAGTGATAAATCTACCTCGATCATGTTACAGTTATACTAAAAGTAGTACTGTATACTTAAAATACAATTTAATAAACTGTAGGTATTGTTTAAAGTTTACAATCTGAATACATGAAAAAATTCAAATGAAGGGACTTGTCTTTCTAAAACCCGTGTTCTTATTAAATTATTCTAACTTGTTTATTTATAGCATAAGTTTTATTTATATGATTAAAACTGTTGCAATAGGAAATGTCTACTCACTGTTCTATTAAAGTAACAAAGAAGAAAAAATTAACTGTTTGCTGCCAGAAAATGAAATGTATTAATAAAAATGTGTTTTTCATCCCGCGCGTGCTTTGCATGGCACATGGGATTATGTACTTAATTTAAAAATTGCATGAATAAAATTGTTTGAATTTGAATTTGAATTTGAAGGATAAGCTATTCACACAAACCGTTGTAAAGAACTTTACGCCACACTACATTATTTTGACGAACTTCCCACGCAAGGATTTAGTCCAGAAAACAGCTGTTTGCCACCAGCTTATTCAAATGGGGTTTCATTGCGTACTACTGTGCTGCAATGAGTTTTGCCGGACACCAATCAGCTGATTATACTGTATTTAGGTGGCAGTGAGTGGTTATAAACAAAAACATAGCCTCTCTTAGAGGTTATGACTAGTGATTTTTAGTCCTTTAGTTGGTGGAAATATATAAGGATTTGTACAGATTTAGTAGTATGGCGTAAACTATCGTACGTAACTCGTCCAAAATGTGTGTACCGGACTCGTATGGTAATCCCGTACTCGACTTCGTCTCGCACGGGGACGACCACACTCGTCCGGTAAACACTTATTTTCAGGACTAGTAACGTAATATACTATTTAGTTAAACCATTACTAACGTAAGTATAACTACCCCCGCTCCAGAAAACCTGCAGACTAAGCGAATTTCCATTTACCTGATTGGATTTTCGATTAAATTTATTTAAATGACATTATGTTAAACAAGTACCTAGGTTTGCTGCTACAGTGAGGGTAATAAATTGCGTTTTTTTAGTAATATATGAATAGCTTAGTATAAGATAAATAAATTTGCCAAGTTTTATCTAAATATATCCATAAACAAGCAAGCTATGAAAGTTAACTTATCCTCCATAAGATAACATGGGATTTTTAAATTTACAGTTTTTGAATTTTCTCCGTAGCCAAAAACCGATTATTATTTGTTTTTTTAAACTCTTTAAAAAGGTCTGAAGAGGTATTGGGACATTTTATATTTTAAGGGTCAAAAATGAATAAACAAATGTTTACCCCAGAAACAGAAAACCCCTCATAACACCCCGTTCCCATAGCGCGATCATGCTGGTTCGTTTATCCCGCCCTGCACCTTCAAGCCAAATTTGAACAAAATCGGGAAAAAATACTCAAGTAATCGCGTTCACGGACATATATATATATATATATTTACATAACAATTTTAACGCATGAGTTAGCGTTTTTGGCCACTAGGGACATCAAAATTAAAAGGTATATCGGTCCCGAGTCTAGGTATTACCGTGCCACCTACGGTAATAGCTACTTCCCTATCTAGGGAAGTTCGCTAATAGATGTAGATATATAGCAAGATAGAAGATCTCATAAACTTCGGTAAATGTATCAATATTTGGTTTTCTTCAATAGTTTCTTTTACCATGATTTCTTTTCAAACTATAAGACTAATTCTGTGTATAAACTCATAAGGGGATCTTTTTATTTAACTATAATAAAAACAACTATAATACAACTTTTTATTTGGTTTAACACCTTTGGTGGGCCAATTTCCAGCTGTTTATTGAAATGATGTCATGATTCCCCGCGAGAAAAATATTTAAAGGTAAATCAAAAAACTTAGATTTAGATAATCTAGAGCCTTGTTTATAGTCTAGTCCATATATGTTTGTTTCAAGAATCGAATTGCAAGTATTTTTCTACACGTGGAGTGCTATAATATAATTACATAAATAATTATTAATTTTACAAATAGGAAATAATTGCAATACTACGACGTGTTTTTGTAGTCAAACTGATAACTAGACTCTTTGGCTCCCGTCGTAGCAAACCTGCAGGATTAGCGAATTTCCATTTAATTGGCTTTTTAATGTAATCTATTTAAATAACATTGGGGTTAACAAGTACCCAGGTTTGCTGCAACGGATTTTTTTTGTAAAATAATAATAACTTAGGCCTAGTATAAAATACTGTATATACATTTGCCAAGTTTGATCGAGATACCTATATCCATAAGCAAGCAAACTACAAAAGATTACTTATTCTTTATAATAATAACATGGAGATTTTTAAAACTATATTTTTTTGGATTTTCTCCGCAACCAATAACAGTAAAAAACACTTCAATGTACCCTCCTGAAATCACAAGAACACATCGAACTAACTTACCTCGAGAACAGTTACCGGCTACATGAACTTAGCCTACATAAACACATGTTAGAGTGCAAATTGGGTATGTTCTGAATGATGTACTTGAACTTTTTTTGTACTCACTGATGAGTTTACAAATAATTAAATAATTTAGTACATTCTTGTTTTTTAAGCTTTTTAAATTGTTAGAAGAAAAATTGTGAAATGTTATGTTTTGAGGGTAAAAAATTAGAAAACCATATTTTTACCGCATAAATCTCCCACAAAACCCCGTATCCATGGTCCGCTCATGCTGGCTCGCGAACTCATTTCCCACCATGCATATAAATTTAATCAAAATCGGACAAAAATTCCTCAAGTTATCGCCGTCTAAGTTGCCGTAACTTATAAGTGGGCCGTCAAAGTTCACGGACATATAATTTGGTACAAACGTGTAAATCTACGTTTATGTGAACGTTTGCGCGGACCAGCATGATCAGGAACGGCATGGGAACGAGGTTTTATGGTCGAATTATTGGTGTAAAAATTTGGCTTTCTCACTTTGACCCTGAAAACATAAAACTTACCAATTTCTCCATAGACCATTTAGGGTAGAACATAGAGCTTAAAAAAATAGTTTAGTATATTGAAGTGTATTTGTACGCTTATTGGTTTCAGAGAAAATTGAAAAAAAAATCAAATTTAAAATGCCTATGCTTATGGAGAATATATAAACTGTTGTAGTTTCCTTGTTTATGAATATATTTTGAACAAACTTGGTAAATCTATTTATTTTATACTAAGCTATTGATATTTTACTTTTTTATTTTTATAAGACACACTTTATTACCATCCCTGTAGCAGCAAAACTAGGTACTCGTTAAACCCAATGTTATTAAGTTTTATTGATAATCAAATCAGGCAATTGTGAATTCGTTAAGTCCGCAGGTTTCCTGCTTCTGTGGTATTTTGCTTTACTACAGTACCTTATGTTGTGCGAATATTTTTCCCTACTGACTTCGTGTGTAGTTTTCCAACGAAATAATGTTTAAGTAAGCTTATCATTTGCAAATTAAATCGTATATGTACATTATTCTCATAGATGCATCAGCACCTCATAGGGTTAGGCAAAAGTATGGAACCTCCCAGTTAACTTTTTAACGCGTTGCAGTAGGAAAACCAAACTCGACACATATTTAAAACATAAGAAATTGCACTTTTCATCAAAGTTTACAAATTTGCCCCAGCTCCCAAAATGGGGTATTTTGGAGGCAGCCCCAAATTGTCAAATGTAAACACCTATCATGTGACCCCTCATTGGTTTATTAAGAGAAAATGAATGGCGCAAACCAGAGGTCAATATCGCACCTCTAATCAAAATGGCAGCCATTTAATTATTTAAGATGAGCAAGCAAGATAAAGTCTGGACACCCCCAGTTAACTTAAAAAAAAATGTTTTAATACTGACCAAAAGGTGAATTCTCTTTTTTATAAAGGTATGCTGAGTTTAGTTTACCTGCTATAACCTGTTAAAAAGATAATAGGGGATATTTAAAAATGACTGCCATTTTGATAAGGGGTGTGATATTGACCTATAGTTTGCGCCATTTTATTTGTCTTGAGAACCCCTTTAAAATGAGGGGTCACATGGTAGGTGTTTACATTTGAAAATTTAGGGTTGTCCCCAAAATATTCTATTTTGGGGGCTGGGGTAAAGTTGTAACTTTGATGAAACAGTGCAATTTCTTATGATGTAAATATGTGCAGAGTTTGGTTTTCCTACTGCAACGCGTTAAACAGTTAACTGGGAGGTTCAAGACTTTTGCCTAACCCTGTATAATTCGTAATAAATTAGCCTAGCCTTAAAGAAAGATATTTTTTCAAACCAAGTGGCCCAATTGAATTTTGTTTCTAAAACCAAAGAGGAATGTGTAACTATTTTATACAACAATTAACATTTTTATAATTACGTTACGTATAATTAACAGAATTTAAGTAGTTTTTTATTATTATTATTTTGGGTAATTTTTTAGACAGCAACTAGTACATACAGGGTGTCTCACGAGAGGTGTCTCAAATTGATTACGGAAAAACGGCTTAACGTACAAGGATGAAATAAAATTATTTCCCGCTAAATCGACCCCAAGGAATAACGTAAAAGTATTTTTAACTTTTTCCCAATACAGGGTGTGCCAAAAACTGAGGGTCACTAGTTCGAATCTCGGAATTTTTAAATGTAAACATATGTCATGTTATACATCATTTTAAAGGTATTTGATAGACAAACATTTTGGTGAAAACAGAAATAAGTTATCTTTTTACGTTTCAAAATGGTGGCATTTTTTTTGTAAAAAATCCATATTTTTTAAATACTCTGTGTTTCCTATACCAATGCATTTATCCCTTCTCCGGTTGAATTTTCTTACTCGTTATGAAATTAGCTTTACTTTGATATGCTACAAGTAACGGTTTTTTTAAATTATAAAAATTCTAAAAAAACTTTTTTTTTGAAAATTTGCAAATGCTTATTTAAAAAAAATTTCAAATAGCAACATATGTCAAGTGGCACATCATTTTATAGGTTTTTTAATTCCTAACAACTTTGTAATTTACTCTTACTTCGTATCTCTTTTAGTTTTTGCGTACCCTAAATAACAAAAAACCTAATTTTCCTATATGAAATGCATGTTATTTGGGTTTAACACCAAAGGCCCAATTTGATGAAGTGTTAAACCCAAATAACATGCATTTGATATAGGATGTTTGTTACAGTTTGGTACAGGCACACCCTGTATTGGGAAAAAGTTAAAAATATTTTTACGTTATTCCTTGGGGTCGATTTAGCGGGAAATAATTTTATTTCATCCTTGTACGTCAAGCCGTTTTTCCGTAATCAATTTGAGACACCTCTCGTGAGACACCCTGTATATACAGAGTTATTCTAAATGATGGACCCATTTTTAATGCTTTATAATTTTTATACTATTAAACTTACCGCTATAAAATACACATCAAATGAAAAAGCAACTCAAAGAGTTTATGCCTTCCAAAGACACATCATTGAACAATATCGATCCAACAGAACTGTAGATTTAATTGTACAAAGTTAAAGAGTAATCTCCAACTTTTTTTACCACTAGAAATTTGGAGGTTACTTGACGTTTTTGCAAATAACTTTCAAATGGTGAGGAAATCGACCAAAGTGGAAGGTAATATTCCGAAAGAGAATAACATTTCCTACAATCTACTATTACGCATATCTTGAAAATACTCAATAAATGTAGCCTAAATTTGGCTTAAAATAAAAAAAGTATGAAATTTAATGTTTGCTATGTTTATTGTCTACAATATTTGAAGACGGGGATTTTCAATTTTTTTTTCATTTTGAGGCAATTTTCGGTACCTTTCTTGAGTATTTTCAAAAAATTCATAGAAGTAGATTGTAGGAAATTTTATTCTCTTTCGGAATAATACCTTCCACTTTGGTCGATTTCCTCACCATTTAAAAGTTATTTGCAAAAACGTCAAGTACCGGTAACCTTCTAAATTTCTAGTGGTAAAAAAAGTTGGAGATTACATTTTAACTTTGTACAATTAAATCTACAGTTCTGTTGGATCGATATTGTTAAATAATGTGTCTGTGGAAGGCATAAACTCTTTGAGTTGCTTTTTTGTTTGATGTGTATTTTATGGCGGTAAGTAGTATAAAAATTATAAAGCATTAGAAATGGGTCCATCATTTAGAATAACCCTGTACAATTTTGAACGAATAGTGGTTTTGGCCTATATGGACATCAAAATGAAAAAGTATATCGGTCCCGGCGGGTCTAGGTCTTACCATGCCACATACGGTAATAACTACTTCCTATACGGAAATTCACTAAAAACTATCGCCCTTGCAAAAGACAAGACAGAGTCTGTACTAATTAACCAATTACCAACCGGTTACTGAGGTTCTGACAAAAACCTAGCCCAAGGCGCACAGCCGCCTAGCGAGACACCAAAACATACGAGCACGCGTCAAATGTAGTCTATTCTTAAATTCTTGTAAAACAGAATACATCACCCAAATTGTCTGGCGAAGAGGATTTTTTATTTAATAATCTAGCTAAAGATATGTTTTAAATGACTTTACCTATCTATATTTTTATAAGCGATCTACGTTGTATGGTATACCTTATAATCGTCTTGATTTCCTATTCGTTGCATTAGAATATTGGGTCAAAAATCGTCACACCCTTTATTAATATCGTCATACTTTGCTAGATTTCGAGACATATAGGTACTTGTTACATGAATACCTCTTTCAACGGGGAGGAATCAAACAAAGTCCAGGTAAGATCAAAATATGAACTCAACTGTCATTTACTTGAACAAATCTAAGAAAAGCTTTGTCTAGCATTGAAATAATAATATTATTAAAAAATTCATTATTTTTAAAATTCTTAAAATAGTTTCAAAACGTAAATGCCTCATTTAGGAAACCATCCACATATGTGGCACGCACAGTTACAACACCTCGCGGACATCATCAAAGAACAATAAATGACGAGAACAATCCATTTTACGACCAGTGTTTATTTATTTCGTCACACCTAAGGAAACAAAGACCTAATAAATACGTCGCTCAAAGTCTTTGTGATGGATTCCCATTTAATACAATCGACAACTGACTCGGGACTAGATCTATATTTTACTCACTGTAAGAGAAAAGTACAATGTTTTACGACACAGACTTTAGCCGTAAATTGATTGATAAATGGTCTTTGGCTTCGAATAATAATCGCATTAATTACTTGGCCTCTTCCAAAACGACGCCGGTGATGGAACGCTCAATTTGTTCTGAATGTCGGCCCTGAGGAGTTATATAATAAGTTGCTACATGTAGCCTGTAGTCGCAACATTCTGTGTTAATTGTTGTACAGATACGACGTTTTACGTATGCTGTAAAGGGGGATTTTGTAATAAAATGCAGATTTTTGTTCATAAACAAAGATTAGTATTATATTTTATTGTTCAAAAGTCCAAGTAAATTACAGGCTACGTACACTGTAGACATTTTAATTACCGATTAATCAGTCTGAGACTTTGTTAGTAAAATTATTTTTAAATTAAAGTGTATATAAATTTCCTAGTTCATACTTACATTTTTTGAAACATGTATAAGTACATAATGTGATAAACACATTTTATTGTTCTATCGACCTTACTAGGCCTACCCACATAAACAAATTAAAACGTGTTTTACAGATTTTAAAAGTTTTTGCCGTATAGCATAAAATAATTTGACAATGTTGTTTTATAATTATACTCCTACAACTATAAAACCAAAACATTAAATATTTCAGATTAAAATTTGTATACTGTATAAGTTATTTTAAGTTAAACATTTTTGACTTAACAAGTAGTTAAAATCCAATAAAAACACGTATCATGGTTATCGATTAGCTAATAGAATTACTACACCAAAGGATGTTTACTTAGGTTGTAATTGAACATGTTTTAAATAACGAGAATTATTGAGGAAATCCTTGTAATACCACTATCCACGAGACCTTGTCCAGTTTGGAACCGAAACAATCGCGTGCAAGCCAACGGCAAAGGACGAAGCAAATTAGGTTTTGGATATTTTGTAGTATTTTATGTTTTTTTTTTTTCACACATTTTAACAAGGTTCCGAATTGCACAACTTTTTGTGAAACGCATAGGGTTGATAAAATCCTTCATTCAAACTTGTTACTTTTGTTGTGCAAGAATTGAACCACAGAGGCAAGAGTAAATTAAATTTAAGGAAATTCTATTCGTGGCTTCAAATATGTATTACTCACTGCAAGGCTATTTAACTAGACGTCATATACACATTCTGTATTTAAATGAGATAATTTGGGTTTTCTTTTCCAAGTTCATTTGGCTCTTCTACCCGACCGATTTTCATGATTAGTTAAAAAATAGGTCTCAAATTGAAGGTATGCACGCACATATTTCACATCAACCATCGGCGAATATTTATCAATTTAGCATCCTTGGCAAAAAACATAAATTTTCGAGATATTTTTACTTCAATTTAAGATGTATTTTAAAAGTTATAATTATATAATCCTATATATTTTGGTCTAAGAACCTTCAGTGAGATGCCGGCTTTCATTTATGCTTTTCGGTATTCAAATCGGACGAGTTTCAAGCAAATGCAAGGTGAACAACAAACATACAAATTATTTTATAAGGGTTTTCTATGATTATAAATCAATAGCTCCGGTATTGTTTATGTTTTAGACTAACAATAATCAGTAAATAATGGACTTTAATTTGAGCTATTGATTGTTTGAATCAGTTAAGTTCAAGATACTGTATTACTCAATCAAAAATCATACCTTTCAATATTTCTTGAAAATGATATTTATTTCACCGCTGCGGAGCAGCATTGGTCCTGTAGTTAATTTATGAAAATTATTTGTGGGTTCCACTCAAGTATCTTTTTTGTTAGGTATTGTTTGATTATTATTTGTCTATAGTGATATCCAGAACTCACTATTAAGCGGGCCGTTTTTCGAGTTCCGCAGAATTAATTACATGGACTATTGCGTGTGATGTATGTATATGTATGTGTGTTTATGTCGAGTCCTGCAATACTAACAAAGTGTTGATATGTTCTGTCTTTGGAGACAACCCTAATGTAACACGAACGTAATCTGTTGCAGTGATCGACGCCAGCAGTAAGATCCCAGCAGGTATCTTGGATGGCCGGATGATGGACCTCGGCAGCTACGACGAGTGTATCAGGGCAGAGGAGCCAGAGGGGAGGTTCCGAGGACAATACTGCCTAGTAGAGACCGAGGGAATCCTGCCTAGGGACCTCACTGCCCGCTTGAACCCGGAGGTTAGTCAGTACTATGGGGCTAGAGATATAAGTAACGGGGGACCGATCCATGTCTCGGTATATTCGATTGTTAAGCAATATAAAGGAAACTCACGTTTTATTTACAACTAATTTTGGCTTTTATTATTTAAGTTTCAGTGGAATTTCAATTTATTAACATGGACATTTTAACCTGGAACCCAACAACACATTAATATTTTACTGTCGATGTTAAAAATCATTCGTTTGTAAGAGTCTATACTTGCATAATATTGATATAATATAATATTGACAGTTTGTTTTTAAACTAAAACAGCCAATGTTAAATTTTGAAATGAGCTGTGTAGTGAAATCGAATTTTCTTGAAGTAGTGGCTGTCGTAAATCAATTTTTAGGCCATAAATTATTTACAAACCTTGAAGAAAATCTTCAAAGCCGTTTTTAAGATAAATTTGCAAGCATACATACATACAAGCAAACATTGCTCATATAAGATCATAGGATGGTCTGAAATGTGTTTGTTGTCCCTATCGGGAAATTCGCTAAAAAGGGGTATCCTGAACTTTGCACTACTCTGGAGTATTGACGAAACAAGACCACTAATTTTCAACTCTAGACGTTACTGAACTAAGCGATAAGACTGTACCTTCTGTTACTGTAGGATTATTAGCAGTAAGAATTTAAGAATTTATCAAACCAAAATCCTTATATAGAGTGTGCGTTGTTATGGGTCCTGTGCTCCATAAACAGTGGTTACAGCGATACTGTTTTAGTTTATACTAGCTGAGTACCCGTCCTTCGTACGGGGTTGGTATACAATGCTTATCTATACTTATTTAATACGCAAGCAGGATTTTTGTGACAATTACTCCTCCGAAACTACTAAACCGATTGACATGTTTTTGGTGTCATTGGAAAGAGCGTAACGTGAAGTTGTGCAGGAAACTTTCTTTTTAGGTGAATAATTAGAGAGTGAGGCCCTGGAGCCCTTTAAAGTTTCGTATTTCTCCATAACATTAACATGGGAAACAAAAATTGTTTTGGAACTCCAGCTGTTGTCAGAAATCAAATATTAATAATTGGTCTCCATGGAAGCATGAGAAAATTCACAATGTTTACATTTGCTTTAACATTTAATTGTAAACAACCAGAACTGTCAAATGCATATTTCACAATTTCAGACAGCTGATCCAAAAAAATAAAACAACTATGTATATTATTTAATCTTAAACTTTATGATGGATTATTTATTTCAATGATTATGAAACAGATTTTTCCCGTTGCGAAGCAAAAATTAAAAGTGAGAAGAAGAACATATGTTAATTGTAAACACTCAATGTGTAAATTATCTATGTTGTATTAAACATATGTATAGTTTTGGATGTTGGTTTTTGTTTAATGATATAAGTTATTAATTATAGAATTTTTATTTTAAGGATTTGGCATATGAGTATGCCTATGATGAATAACACCATTTCAGAGTTCTGCCAGTTTTTGCCTAACCCAGTTCTGTAGCGTTTAAAGTAGCCTACACCTTATTGTCTAAAAATTGGCTAAATAACTTATATCTCAATGTACGGTACATTATAAAAGCTGACTGCCTTTTTACGTTGACTTAAATTGTAAGCTTACCTTTTCCCGTCCATGGGCAGTTTGATAGTTAAAAATTAACCCTTTAAACTGGAATAGGACTGTTATGTAAATTGTGAGTATTTCCATTAGTTAATAATCTTTTAGTTGACTATTTTCAAATCATCGGAAATTATGACTGTTATTAGTTTAACATAATTTTCTCATGCTTCCATGGTGACCAATTATTAATATTTAATTTCTGACAACAGCTGGAGTTTCAAAACAATTTTTGTTTCCCATGTTAAGTTATTTGTTTATATATAACTCCTGTACTTCTTTGTAATTGCTCGATTTCGAGCAACACGTACACTAGTTGCAGTTAAATACTCGTGCTTTGCATTTGCAATGAGAGAGGACACGTTTTGAGAAAATTTGGTTTACTATAATCTACGGTATACTATAGTATATAGAACATCTACCATAGCCATAATGTTCTACCACTTCACCTTAACAATAGAAAGAAGTAAAGTTCACACACTCAGATTTTGTTGCTGCTTGGTTCAAATTAGCTGTTGTCATAAATGTATAAAGAACTAAATGGTGCTGCACCCTGTTGGTAAACCGTATAACCTTTTAATGCTATTGAACATCATAGAAACAAATTGTGTAGTTGAAACAGCTGGCAAAATTATTTAATTCCTTTTAAATATGAATACTCATAAGGTTAACATGGGAAACTCTAGAGCCGATGGGGCGGAGCCCGAAAGGATTATTGAGGTAAGAATATGTCTATATGTTAATCGGGAAGGTGAGCTATCATCGTACCAAATTTCAACACAATCCGACCAGTAGTTAATGCGTGATTTAACTTCAAACAAACAAACAAACAAACAAACAAATAAACAAACACACAAACTTTCACATTTATAATATTAGTATGATGAGAAAAGTGACATTACTTCTTCGTCTAGTAAATACACAGAAGAAGTATATTAATTTATCGTCTTTATGGATGTAACATTCCGAACAGTTCGACTAATGTGTCTAAAAACCATAACAGTAACAAACCGATACATGACCGTTTATTTTGTATTCAAACCCACATTTGAAGAAAACTGTAAGTACCTGATTGACCGAGGAAAATCAGTTGGTTTGTTTCTTTGATTCAACTGATTCCAATACCCGTCGATTAAGTAAAAGGCTTGAAATAGCGAAGGGCTATAATTTAGCCCCGACTGCTGCTGCTGCACTGGAGGGCTATTAGCCCGGAGCTCCTACACACGTGCTAAGACAAGGTCGTATGATGTTATCTGAGCAGACCCAAGGAAACACGCGCTTCACAGTACGAATGCGCAGTTCTGGCATTTTAAATAAACTGCCAAAAAATATCCCCACAACAGCAAACCTAGAGACTAAGCGAATTTCCATTTGCCTGATTTTATTTCCACAAATCTATTTTAATAACATTAAATTTAATTAGTAGCTAGGTTGTCTGCTACGGTGAGGGTAATATAGTGTGTTTTTAGTGAAATATAAATAGCTAAGTATAAAAAAAGATTATTATGTCAAGTTTAATAAAATATATCCATAAAACAGGTATACAACAATAATTTACTTATTTCTCATAAGAATACCATGGGAATTTTAAATTTGCAATTTTTTTTTAATTTTCTCCGTAACTAATAACCATACAAAAATACTTCAAGATAGTAAATTATTTTTTTAAGCTCCGAAAAATTGTTTGAAGAAAAATTGTGAAATTATATATTTTTTTTGTGATTATTTTTTTGGGGGGGGTTTTGAGAACCCCCATTTTTTATAAACCCCCGTAAAACACCTTTCCCATGGTCCAATCTTGCTGGTTTGCGAATTTTTCTAATAAATGTAGGTTTACACTTTTGTACCAAATTCCATCTAAATCGCATGATTTTTGTTTCCGTTATCGTGCTAACGGACACACAAACACACTCACACACACATTATATACAGAGTGGCTGAAAAGTAACTTACACCCCCCCCCCCTTAACTATTCGACCATTTGAGATATTTGAAATCTGTTCGCAGCAACCTTCATAGGTCTGAGTGGCTACAATAATTATCATGTTCAATTTTGAAAATTTTGCCCTTAGGGGTATCGGAGGTAGGGGGTAGCTCAACAATTTTATATGACAAGTATAGTCGAGTTTGGTATCATTTTACAGGTCTTGTTACAGGAAATTGTTACTCTATTTTTATGTTCATGAACCTAAAACCTATTTTTATGGTCATGATGTTTATGTTATATATTTCTGAATTCTTGAGTAACCAATTCCAAAATTTAAATCTGTCCCCACTGTGAAAATATGTACAATCTAGTTTCTAGATTTTTTATATTTTCGTGTTAGTTATAGACCCCCACATTCTATCGCTCTGAACATTGGTTCCCAGCTAATAATTAAATATGCTAGATAATAATGGTTGATTATTTAATTATCAATTATATGATGATATAATTATATGTTCAATTATATTTTGATATAATTTAATCTATATGGTTGATTAATCCATCCTGTGAGTTTGTACATTGACTATATAATAAAAAAAGTATAATCTATAGTCTATGGTTTGTAGTAGTTCTACCCTATCTGTCCCGACCTTCACCAAGAACATAATAATCAGTTCTGGTAATTATGTATAATATGTATAATTGGTTAATTTTTGGTAATGTTTTCAGACACTTTTACTCAAGAATTGCCGTAAATTATCTGGACAAGCTGTCTCATTAGTGATAACCGTGAAGCCACACATTAGAGTATTAACGCCATCAAAGTAATTTGAAATAATTAATAATGCTAATGGAGCTAATAATGATGGTAAATCCATTGATTTTAACGATCCCTTGTTTCTTGAGCATGTCTTCTGAGTTTTCTCGGTGGCAAATTCCCGATAAATTAAAACTATTAACTATCAACATCCTCTCACACAGGATATCTAAGTGATCAGGAGGTGAAGTTTCAAGGTAGTTTCCAATAAACATTCCAGCTTCAATAACACATTTAAATGGCTCAGTTTTTGCCGTAAGTACGACTGACCGTCCTTGGGCTAGAGCTTGTGCAGGCTAAGCCCAGATTGTGTATCACCTTCGGGGGCTTCACGATAGAGGCGGTATGTTAATGTAAATAATCATGTTACCTTCTAGTGTACGTCTGCGCAGAGGTAATCATTAGTCTCTAAACTGCGCAGGTTTGAAGTGATTGACAAGATCATTTGATGAATTAAACTACCTCAGTTCAAGACCAATGCTGTCGTAAGCTGTGTTTTGTTTAACCGGTAATAATGCACGGTTGATGATTTATGCTTATACACAGGGGTTGGACATTATCTTGTGAATAACTTCTTGATCAGCATTGTACGTGTTATTAAATTTACGGAAAGTAAATAAAAGAAACGTCTTATAACACTTAAAACAT